TATTTTGAATTGTTTCATTTTTGGTCCGTTACACTATCACTGCAGTACACAACACACAGCACATAGGAAACATCTAACCATAAGCCATACAACCTCAAGCTGACATCTCCCATCTTCGGGATGAATTAACAAGGAGGAGCTTAACATTTTACATCAAATGTTTTAAAATTAAAAAAAAAATTATATATTTAAATATTTTAACATTGGCGTTTTAACTTGAGGGCAGTTTCGGATGGAAGGTGAGAATTGATAGTGCTCTCAACTATCCTAGCAAGTGTTGTGCTTTTACACGTCAACATATTGTAGCAGCGTCCACACAACAAACATAACTGTGTACATCATAAACAACGACAGTGTTTTCATAATTGTAGTAAGTGCCTCTGATGATGGTTGTGTCAAACCGAAACATGTAAGGCAGAAGTGATAAAGAAGTGACCTACAAATTGTTACACTCGACGGACTTTTTATTAACTTTGTACGTGAGGTTTATTAAGGTTTAATTTTGCATACCGAAGGAAGCATATACAGAACTTCACTAGTGAACAGGAATGGTACAGTAAAATGACTGATAGCTATGTGACCTATGGTGAAATAAGAGAAATGCTCGCGCAGCTGAGAGACCTTATGGCCAACTGCTGCCTCAACGCACGGTTTGAATTTGACGCAAAATTTTCGAGACACCCTGCATATAAATAATGTAATTTTACGTTTTGAAGTTCTCAGAGTGGTAGATAAGAAGATTACTATCGTCTTCGATATAACGCTGTTTAGTCCGATGAAGGTCAACCGACGTTTCGGAGGGATATATCGCGTCCAAATTCATTGTTGTTTGCCACTTGAATTTACTCTGGTATCTTCCTTGGCTTATCCTTCGAACCTGAAAATGGAGGCTGTATGCTCCTCCGAAATATTGGTTGAATTTCATCGGACTACACGGAGATATGTTCCAGAATTCAGTACTCTTCAATTACATATTTAGTTTATTATGTGCCGCTGTGATCCATGGTAAATTTAACGACTTTTCAAGGCACCGTCAAATTACAACATGATATGTCATTTATTTTCTTATTTTAATTGAATTGATAACCCGATTGTTTCGACATCAGGATGTTATCATTAGGGAGTATTCGATCAGTTAATGCACTTGTAAGGTTACTCAAGGATTTTTACATGTAATTAATGAAAAAGAGCGGTTATAATGTGTTACGATATAATTTAAGTTCTAAAAATTTAATTTCGCAATTCAGGGATCTCAGAATACTTTATTAAGTTCTCAAAAATGCTTACCTTTTGTGTATATTTTTTCTTATCACATATTTCTTGCGGTGATTTCATTTATTGAATTTTGGTAACTGATTAATTATGTAAATGTCCTTGCTTGTGTAAGGGGTGGGCTTCTTTGCCCTTGCACTGCGACCACAGTGATCTATTGTGCCTTATGTCCTTACTTTGTCTTTGCTTTTGCACTTGTTGTCTCTTTTTTTCGTGCTTCCACAATAATTAGCCTCTGGGCTGTTTGGTAAGCACATAAATGAATAAAGAATTATTATTATTTCTTTTAATAATAATTTTTATTTACATACCGTTTTGTCAATATACATATTCAGAGGTAACTTCAGAGTTTCGCACTGTGGACATATTTATAAATATTAAATTATTTTATTTCAGAAACATCATTTCATAAATAATTTGTACAAATATATATAATATATCTTAATATCGACTTCCTTATTCCCAACATTTCATTAGTTATCGCTAAGAACATGACAGCTAAGCGAATGTTTTAGCACGGCGGCCATGTTGTTGTTCCACAAAAGGAAAAAAGCATTAACTTAATGAAAGTTCCATATTTATCGTTGACCTAATACACATGCAAATTCGGGATCCCTTATTAATGGTGTTCTTACATGACTATTTTAATACTATTGTAATTACATTACTCGTACTACTGTACTATTCTCGCCTCAAAGTTCCTACATTCGCCATTTTCCTATTACATATTCCTGGAAATTAAAAGGTAAGAGGTTGAAATAGCCTCAATTGCCACATATTTCATACTAAGTTGCATCAAAATCTATCAATTATGTAGACGGAAAAAACCTAGGCACATGATTGTCTCAGGAGCCTTCTTCCTTTCTTTGCAGAAAGAAAAGATAAAAAAAAACTTAGAAATGCACCCGAGCTCTTAGAGGGATTCGAATCCAAGGCCTCATTGCGCAAATGGCGAAATTCCTTAGATATATTAAAACGCTATTTTTAGCCATAATGTATTTTGGTTTCTAAAATAACTTAGTCCTGTACACAATATATCTTTATTTTACATGTAAATATAACGAAGTAAACTTTTTTAAAATGTCAGAATTATTCAACAGGTCTCTTTTAAAAAGTTTATTATATACTTGAATATAAAAACGTTAGGAATACCAACCATTCTTCAACTCCTGTATGGCTTTCTGAACAGCAGTGTGCAGGCACGAATTCAAATCTGGATCACTCCTCTTGCAGCGCAAAAAGGACTCCGCTATGGAATAAACACATAAATTATGTGAGAGCAATATTTATTCCGTTGTATTTTAGCGTCCTGTTGCACTGATTCTCATCCATGATACGTATGTAATGGCCGTGTTGTAGTGCAATCAATTTCACATGTCACTTCACTACATGTTTCGGCAACATTGTGCCATCCTCAGGTGCTTTATTTACGCTAAGCTATTACATTGCTTGCCATCATGTGTCTTTCATAAAATTATTAAAATGTACATTCTTCATCAACTATAATAAAATTTGTATACACTAAAACTTGTTAAGATTATTCATCTTATACGTCTTAATTCAAACTCGTGTATTGTATGATTCTTCCACTATGGCAGTCGTCTTTCCTATATTTTTTTTGTATGCTGTGTCTTGTGATGTGTCCTTCCTTTTTGGCCTGCCAAAAACATAATTAGACATAGAAATCTGTACGCGATGTATGCAGTTAACTGAAATCTTCTATAACACTGTGAGGTGTTCGGGGTTCCGTGACTGGTTTGGACGATTGGAACTATTCAGAACTTTGTTAAAAATCTCTCTTAATCACAATCAAGTATAGCGATGTCGCTAATCTACCCACTTCACAAATCACTAGGACAAGCTCTCCGTTTCCTTGCAATGGATTTATCACACGAAGAATCATTTCAAATAAATATGAAGTCTTCTTTGAATGCCAACACTCCAGAATTCTACCCAGTTCCCCGTTGCTAATTCTCTCCCATCTACTCCGAGCTACAAAATCTCGTTATGTAAACTTGGCACGGATTACATAGAAAACACAGCCTGTATTATTGACGAAGACTGTTTGCCGTACCGTTGCTTAACAGTGCACTATTTGTTGTTGTCACACGCTTAAGCGAGGTGTTTAGCGGTCGTTGCCTAGCAACGGGTATGCGTCACAACACGTTATACAGAGTAACTGATCCCTTAGCGGCCTCCGTAGTCTAGAGGTAACGTTCCCACCTCATGACTCGTAGTACGCGGGTTCAAATACCCGGCGGAGGTCGTCGAATTTTTAAGGGTGGAAAAATTCAGGGAACAAGTACTCCGGGAGGGACTTTAAGCCGTGGGTCCCGTGTCGTACCTTTACGGCACGTAGAAGAACCTCATATCTCCAAAGGAGGTCACTGAGCCAAATTAACGGACGTTTCCCGCCCAACAGCAGTCTCTAATACCTCTGGTAGATGGGGGAAGCATTATAGATACCTCTCAGCTAGTAGAGCCGGTCTCGCTGGTTGGGCGGGACTGATGGTAAGCACCAGTACCGGTAGGATATAGAGACTGGTAGAAATCATAGAGGGAAGCACAATGGACCAATACGTGTCTGTGTATGGGGAAACCCACCCTCTCCAATAACTAACTAACTAACTATCTGATCCCTTGAGAGCTTCTGTGTTGCACAATTGCTTTACAGGATGACAAGAGTGAAAAAGATCTATAATTTTAAGCGGACATATTTAATTAACACATTCTTGGATACTTCCATAGCACAGAGCGCCTGTCCAAATAGATCTATACTGAAACTTATGAAACTGTGACTGTTGATCGCGGTGACAGTTGCTCAAACTTTATGTATATATATAGTAAGTACACGTATTTCGTCAGCAATGCAACGAAGTCAAACTTTTATAAAGGACACTAAAATATATGCAATACACTAATAGAGTTTGTTAAATATTTTAAATGTCATTAACTATATACATTCATTTCTTGCTGTTATATGTTTCGACCACACATGGGTCATCGTCAGGCAACATTTATTATTAGGGAGATCACCGCGCTGTACATTTTGTTTTCTGTGACCTTAGGCACATCGTTTTTGTGGTTAATTTGTTTCGTAGGATACCGTATTTACGCATGTATAGGCCGCACATTTTTTGCCAAAAATTCAAGAGGAAAACAGGGGTGCGGCTTATATTCGAAATATTCGAAATCACACTTCATTTAAAAAAAAAATTCATAATTAGTAATACAGGGTGTTCTACTCCTGAAATAATATTCCAAGAATATTATTTTTTCTATAATTTCAGTCTGAAAATTGTGCTGCGGCCTATACACGCACGCGGCCTATACATGCGTAAATACGGTATTTGCATCGTATCATTTTGGCAGCTATTTCAGTCCTTTTTATGTCGTTTACTTTTGTTGTGTGTGCTTTAATGCTGTCTTCCCTTTGAAACTACGTATATCATTGTGGATACTTCACGAAGTACAAGGCAGTGAATTTGTGCCTGTATGCAGTGCAATGTCTCTACTGTTTAATATCTTTATCACCAGTAGAACTCGTGACCCCACACAGTAAGGTTACAGAATTCCAATATCAATTGGCTTCATGAACAGAAGATGTGTAATAAACCAGCACCAAGACAATTGAAGGATGCAAAGTAACAATTGAATAAATAAGTACGTGGGATGTGATTCTTGAGAAGCTGAAATTCAATCAACTGGTCAAGAAATTATCCATTCTTTATGCAACCTGAAGTTTCATTATAAATTCAAGAACAGCCTGCCTTTGGACACTACCCTGAGCCCGTTGAATCCAATCCACTCCAACACACTCTATTTCTCTAGGATTCATTTTCATATTTTCATTTAATTTATACCAAAACCTCTTAAATGTTCACTTATCTCCAAGCTCTCTTATAAAAATGATGTATCGATTTCACATTTACCACATGCGTGCTACATTACCCGTTCAGGACATCCTCATTCAATTGAAGGTCCTGATAAACTACTGTGAAAACACCAATTGTTGATATCCCCATTATGAATTTTTTGGCAGAATCCTCTTATTCTTCTCTCGTAAGTCAAGTATTCTCTATAGCTTCATATTCTCAAAAGCCCTTACGCTAGAAATTATACTCGCTAGGACTAGCTCTTCCTAACGGGCCCCATTGAGTTGGGGACTTCCCATCTTATGCCTGACGGCTGAAACAAATCCGATGTTTCTAACAGTTGTGTTTAAACAAAAAAAAAGTGTCTAAAATAAATCATGTTTGTTGTTACATACCACCGTCAGAAACCTTTAGAATTATTTTTTTTATTCGCTTAGTGTGGTGTGGAGTCCAACTGGGTCCACTCGGTGCGGCGGCCACTGATTGGCCTATTGTAGCCTGCCCGAGTGATTATGATGATGGAGAATTTGGTGAAATGAAGATTGGCAGGGGAAACCAAAGTACTAGGTGAAAACCCGGTCCAGCGCCACTTTGTCCACCAAAAATCCCACTTAACAAGACCGGGGATCGAACCCGGTCCGCCGCGGTGGGAAGCCAGTGACTAAACGCTTGAGCTATGGTGCGGCCAACATTTAGAATTAATCCTTACTCTGTTTTCTTCTTTCACTCCAACGTAAAACAAAAGATGAATTCATTGTTTTGTATATCCTAATGTTTACTTTTCAGATGCCTCATGAGAAAGCAAAAGATTTTGAACTGCACTGATGCAAGTATTCCTCGAAAATGATCTGTTCTTTACCTCCTATGTTAATGTAATTTTGGTACGTTACCTTCTCTTCCAAATAATTAAACTTTTTTCACTTACCTGAATGACATATTAGTTGTCTCCATATTTTTGTCCCGTATTCTTTTTAATAATACTCGAACATGTATTTATTTTACTCTGCTTTAATTTGTAAACACATTTCTTTACTTTCTGTTCTATAAGTTGTCTTTGTGTATTTTAAATCCGTCCTGACTTTCTTTTGCTTTCCTACTACCATGTTATGGGGATACACCGTAGCGTAGTTGGTTGAGGCACTATATTACAAGTCGGAAGGTCGCGGGTTCAAGTCCCGATGAAGTAGATTCTTTTCAATTTACCTAATCCTTCCAGCCGCACTATGGCTCTGGGGTCAACTCAGCCTCTAACAGAAATGAGTACCAGGAATCTTCCTACGGGGTAAAGGGCGGCCACCGCGTAAAGCTAACAACCTTACCGCCATCTATGAGCCGAGAAAATGTGGAAGCCTCGACGTCTCACAATCTTATGGGCCTTCATGGCCTGTTACAGAGATAGATTTATTGTTTTTAGTGACATGTTATAAAGTGAAGTTGAAAAGCAACGACAATAGAGTATTTCCATGTTTCAGGCTAAGAAATACCTTTACGAAATATTCTATATATTTAGCCCAGATATGTTTTAATTAAATTGACTAGATCTGTAAATATATTATCGCAATGAGATTGTTGTACAATAATTCCCCTTGACAGAATCACTCCCTTTAAGAACTTAATAGCTGATTACCGGCCCCCATGTCCCCAGTTTTCTCTATTACACGATGACTGCAAGACATCTGATCACTTGCTGATCTGTTATTTCGGGATATATCATTGTTTGTATAAAATGTTGCCTGCTTACGGAAATATCTTTGAGAGAAATCTGCCGAAGATGAATTGAATGAAGTTGATAAGTATGAATTTAGCGAGAGAGACTGAAGTCAGTTTGTAGACATTCGTCGAAAGAGAGAGAGAAATCAGACATTTTCCACTGCTGTTGCAACTCGTTCTTGTTCAGAATGGAACGAAACCCTTTCCCAGTTTGAAATCATTATGCTTCATTTCCTGCTTGTTTACATTATGCTGGAATTTGATCAGCACAAGGCGATTTATACCCTTTAAGTTTTTCGATAGCAGTTACGACCTCAACAAGACGAGTTTAAAGGCGCGTCCACATTACTCGTGCTCGTGCGACTCGCTATGCTCGAGAGTAATGTGGGCGATATGACAAGTCACAGACAAGCAAATTTTAAATGTTTAATTTAAAAACTATAGCCAATAATTTAAAATACGACTACAGCCTACACACACTACGAGCAAATATACGGATCCTCACGCGCCGAAGCCTGGCGAGCAACTGAATTAATGTGGACGAAGATTTACGGGCACAAGTAAAAGCGAGACGAGTCTCCCGACAAGCACAAGCCTGGCGAGCACGAGCACGAGTAATGTGGACGCGCCTTAAGAGAGTGTATGGATTTCAGTTTACCTACCATCGATGGTAACACATGAATTTCTAATACTCGACTGAACAAATTTTTCCGCATGTTATAAATTTCTTAGTAGATTGCAATTGTATTTGTTCACTAAGTTATTAATTTCTTACCATATATACTTAACTTTGATTTTTTATATAGAGATCTTCAACAAATTTATTCTCGTTTACTTACTTACTTACTCACGGAGCTCAGCATTTCCCGAGGAGCCGCCAATTCTACAGCTGCTCAAGAATTTCCCACCATTTTATGGAACCCGAAGGTTCACCACCGTGTTCACAAGAGCCCTCCACTGGTCCCTATCCTGAGCCAGATCTATCCAATCCATACCATCCCATCCTATCACTCTAAGATGCATTCTAATATTGTCCACCCACCTACGCCTTGATCTTCCCTGTGGTCTTTTTCCTTCTGGCTTATTCTCGCTATTGATTTAAATCACATTCTTCTTTTCTTTGGCGCTAGAGCCCCAATTTGGGCCTTGGCCTACCTCCATGGAACTTTCCGTTTCGCTTCGGTTTACTAGATCTCAGATATTCGGTGGGACTCTTTGGGTGGGTGATCAGCATGTCGCAAGGCCTCACCTATATACAAACACAGAAAAACGCACACACACACACACATATACATAAACACTAAACATCCATACCCTGAGTGGTATTCGAACCCACGATACCGGCTTCGAGCGAGCGAAGACAGTGTATGCCTTAGACCGCTCGGCTACCGTGACCGGTTTTAAATCGTATTACATGTATGGAAATATGGATATTCGAAGTTGGAATGCACATTTCCACTTTTTTTTTGCGATAAAGAAATGCCTGGACATGTTGAAACAACTTTTCAGTAGAGTCAGTACTTACGCAATCTGGCATCTCCACTTTTGACGACAGAAGACTGTCCCGCCACCACCAACAGAAGCAATGTCAGAGGAGCCCCAACTTTCATTGTTTAATTCAGCTACAGAGAAAACTTGCCCTCTTCAGGAGGATGAGAAGACCGCCCAACAGCCAATGACCCTGGTATGCATTCGCTCAGAAATTTATACCTTCGCTCAGGTTGCAAAATTAGAAAAAATAAGCACATCTTGCTCCGAAGGGGAGAGGTGGGCAAAACATGATCTTTATCGGCTTTAATATATTTCACAGTGAAGTTATATCACGCACTGACTTTGATCAGATATCTGGTTTTGGTTCACGGATGGTAGTCTCTCAATGCTCGTCCCACTGGCCTATGATTATGATGGATATGTTACCGATGCGTTCACGTTACTAGCAATAATGGTAAAGGTGTCCCTGTGTTCAATTAATTAAACACCACGGCATGAAGACGTATTTGGAAATGGAGTTATAATCCTACCATTCTAGACCTCGGCACTAGATGGAAGTGAGCGGTAAGTTTCACGCCCCGTCCGCTTTACCTTTACGGAAATTCACCAGTATCAACTGGATGGGAGGCTGTAAGAGCGGGTAATTTATTGTTGCGTGTTACACAGTCATTAGCTAGAAGTTCTGTTTTGCTAGCCCCACAGTTCTTGAATAGAACAAATATGCCAAAATATTTTGGATGGTATTCATTTACTTAGTTCGTTAGTTAGTTAGTAAATGTGTAAGTTACTTTCTTAGAAGTCAGGTAGTCAGAAGTTAATTAGCAGGCAATCAATCGATCTGTCGAATAGATAGATAGATAGATATATATAGATAGATAGATAGATAGATAGATAGACAGATAGATAGATAGATTTTTTAATAGATTTTATTTAACAATATATAGTTAACAATGACAATAATGATAGATAGATAGATTTTGATAATGCACTTTTTATATATATTTAAGAACACAACTATTTTCCAATTGCAAAAATAATAGCAGCACTTCTTTACAGACACAGTTGAATGTCATAAGATGGTATATTGAGGGTTTGGGCCTTCGTAATGTTGCCGAGATCTCAAAGTGATCTTCTGTGGTCCTTAACCTTCGCCGGCGCAGCCATTTGAAAAGTTACATTAGAAGTGGTCGTAAGCGTGTCCTCCATTGTGTACGCTGTGTCCTGACTTGGTGACCACAGCGTTGAAGCCGTTGTGTTTGTCCGCGGTGTAGTCCACCGTGCGCACAGAGCCGTCTGGTTCCACGAGGCTGTACTGCCCCTTGACCACGTCACCATCACGAACCTCGTGTTGGCTTTTCACATCTCCAGTGTGGTAGTCATAAACGGAGTACTTGAAGCTGTACTTGGGGTGGGCCGTTGATGTATATAGTAGTATCAGATCTGCTTGTTTAGTATAATCCGTCCCTCTTCAATCTTTCCAAGTATGTGATTGTGCAGCCAGT